CTAAATTACTAATTTACCCTCAATTAGCAATTAGTTTTCCTGGATTATGATTTAGGATTTTACAATTGGTCTATGGCTTTAAGGTTGGTTTAGAGAAGTTAAATGTTTGGGAAGTGGAATTTATGACCTTAAGAGGTTTTTATTGATAAAATTCTCATATGGAGGTATTTTTATGCTAAACCAAAGCTATTAGCAAGATTTATGGTAGGCTTCATGTGAATACTTGAATAACTCAATTTGGAGTTACATAAAGAAAGTTGTGTATGTTTAAATTTTGAAAATTTTATCAAATTTTTCATATACTGATAAGGAACCTTCCACCACAATGCATTTCTTTTTAGCCACAATGTGTAATATCTTGAATTTTTAATCCAAAAATAGTTATTAATTAGGGGTAAATTAGTAAATTAGTGTATTAATGAAATAATTAGAGTTTTGGATGATGGATTGATATTTTGGTATGTTGGTTTATTAAATGATATGATTGGGTGGAAGAATGGTGTTTCAGAGCACAGCATGTGAGCAGCGGTGAGATTCTCCTCATTGTGCACACATCATGGTATATGCTATATGCGCCATGACATATGACACATAATTTAACTTATAAAGATGTGGCTCAATTTGAAAATTAGAAGGGAAAAGAAAGAGGGAATGTAAAGGAAGAAGAGGAGGAGTAATCTTCTACTAAGGCAAGGATCCACAACTACTGAGGGGATATTTCCGACCTATCGCTTACCGAATAAGTTTTGAGATATAGAAAAATTAATTAGGGAGTTTTAAGGAATTGTTTTCTTACCCTTTGGTAATAAAAAGATTTTTAAGAGTTAAGCTTCTTAGGAGTTAAGCTAAGGTTTTGCACCTGGTTAGGGAATTAATGGCTAAGCTTTAAGGCTGTAGTCTTAATTTAATCTAAATTGTGAAGTTTTAGAGGGTGAAAATGTTGGCATGGTTGTGTTTGAGCTCATAAAAGTGGTAAAATATTTAAAGATAATAGTTAAAATCTAATATGGTTAGGTGGAAGTGATTAGGTAGTTAATCATGATTAACTGATAATTTGTATTTTTGTTCAATTTGATAATTAACTTATGGTGCTAAATCATGTAGATTGGCATGACTTATATGCTAATTTAACCCAAGGAAGTTAAAAGTTTGAAAAGTACCATAGGCAATCTTTCTAAGAACAGAAGGTTTAAGGTAATTATATAATTCATTCTATTTATTAACTAGCTTAATTGTTTATAAGTAAATATGAAAATGCGATACATGTTTTAAACCATTGGCATATTTCAAAATTGCAAGTGTTTGCATATCCTTGACATAGAAAGGTTTGATTTATAAACTAGATTAATTGTGAAATTAGTTTTAAAAATGACTATGATATATATATATATATATATATATACATGTGTGAATTTCTAATTGAAACATGGTATAATGTGTGAAAAAATGGCATGATCATGTTAAGGGGTGGAAGTTCACCTTGAGTTAAAAAAGAAAATTCATATAGTCGAGCTAACACTATGAGCAATCCAATGTAGCAAATATTTAGGATTGTTCCATATGGCTACTCAAGTAGTCTAGCAACTCTCTAGTGCTTGTGAGGGTGCGATTAGGAGCTAATAACACCCTTATCATGTGTGTGTGAAAGGGAGAATCCATATAAGTAGGATAGAATACTTTTGGCTAACCATTTCTACCACTAAAGGTGTTCTTGGACTCATGTATATAAGATTGGTCCAATAGAGCCTATAGGTTCAGTTGGAAAGAATAAAGGTTTAATGGATAAATGATCATGCGAGTACGTGAATGATTTTATGAAAATGGATATAAACTTATATATAGTATTTGTGAAAGTAGTAAAATCATTTTGTTTACTTGTTTATAGTTATTCTTGTTAATAAATAGTGATCAATTATTTTGATTACTGAGATGTTATCTCACATGTGGTCACCATTTTATAGGTTCAAATATTGGGAACAGTAAAGGGACTACTGATAGCCCTGCAAAGTTAATGTAATGAACTTGATTAGTTGTGAATAATGTTATGTATATAAGTTGTCTTATATGATTGCATTTACACATAATGTCTAATGCACTTGTGTAGCTATATGTGTAATTTAGCCTGGAATGTGTAAATGTGTGATTTGTTGTGAATTTTGATAATAGGGCTAAGATATTATTTCCAATACATGTTTACACATTTAGAAGTAATAAATGTTTAAAGTTTAACTAAGAGTGTATATATGTGTGTAAATACGAAAATAGCCCTAGTGTGTGTAATAAAGGGCGATTTAATGGCTAAACATGTGTGTATGTGTGATTTTGATGATATGATTGCTTACTCAGGTGTTAAATGTCCTATTGGATGTGGTTAAAGTCTTAGAAGTGGCTAATAATATATGATTTCAAATTAGGACACTTAGGTGGGTGAAAATGATATTAAGCAGTCATATCACATCCAGGTGTCCAATTTCCAAATAAAATATGGGATTGAAATGCAATCTATATCATTAGCTAGATTATCAAATAAGCTTCATATTGGTACTTGAATCACTCTAATTGAACAATATATGATAAAACGAAACGTTAAAAGTTTGCATCTATTGAATTGTCATGACAACAAAATCCATCATGTACACTATGGCACATGGCACAAGGTGTAGACTTGTGTTTTTGTATCACATGCCGTGGTATATGACCTAAATTGCCTGAAATCACAATTTTACCCAAAATGTAGCATTAATGTATAATTCGAAAGCTTCCATTATGCATGGATATGTATTTTTGATGATTTGAATTGTTTTCCAAAGAGAGTAGGGATCTCAAACTTTTAAAATATTGAATATATATATATATATATATTTGTTATATGAGATTTATGGCAGTTTAGAGATTCTAACTATCTCTAGTTACCTTATATGGAATGTTTGTTATAGTTTGGTGATAGTAGGAGGGACATTATATGTTGCATGGCAAGTTAGCCATGGTGAATGGCTCAAAAATTACAAAATTGTCCTTGTTTCATAAATTAGTTCATTAGGAAATTTTTTTGACACTTTTACCCTTTCTAATTTTTTTGGACAATTTAACCCCTAGGAACCATGCTTCACTATTATTCAGGATTTATAAAATGAAATTGGATTTTAAACACTTGTTTTACATGGAATCCCATTTGGTATACTTGAATTAATTTAGTTCCTCCCTAAGTTACCATGGTAGGTCTATTTTAATATGTTTAATTGTTTCTACCATGTTAGTTGACTTGAAAATGAATTTATTGTTTGAAAAATCCTTTTTTTAACCATCATAGGTCTTTTAAAAGTTACTTTAATTCTTAATTGTTATGTTAGACTCTTTTCTATTTTGGCAGGGTTAAAAAAATAAATTTTACTCGTTATTACCATGGTAGACATTTTTCTTCCATGGTATGTATTTGCAAAGTCGAGTTTTGTAACTAATTACCTTTTTATAAGGAAATCCCATTTAAAAATTTAGAGTGTTACAAATGATATTACTTAAACTAAGAATTTACCAAAATTAAACTAAGAATTTATATTTATCTATAAAATTTATAGATAAAGATATGTGATTTTGAATTAAACAAATAATTGACTTAGATATTTTTCCTCCTGGAGGATATAATGATATTGTATTTTACGGTACTTCATCGAAATTTAAATTTTTTCCATAAAAATCTAAATTTAAATTTTTGAAATTCTAATCTATATATTTTGTAATGATTTGAATTTTAAATATTTAAATGTAGATGAAAAAAAATTAAAACTAATTTATTTTATTTAGAAGATATGCATGTTGTAACCACATTTTTCGTTTAAATACGTGTGTGTTTTTAAAAATTTAGTCCAAATCTAATCACAAAGACACAAACCAATAGCCAAACCTGACACCCAAAGCACATAATTGTTATACGGAAAAATGATTTATGAATTTATATAATTTTGGAACATAGCAATTTATCTATATTTATTTGTAGAATTTTTAACAAAGATTTTGCAGTTATTAACTTCGGTGTATATTTATTTTTGGATTTACATATAAATAAAATAACTATTTAGTCAATTTTATTTTTCAATTATTGACATGTATAAATATTACATTATTTTATGTTAATTCTTAACTGCGTATGATAACTAAGAAATTTAATAATAATAGCAGCAGTAGTAGTATAGTAGTAGAAAGAAGATTTGACAAGCGTAAGCATGATATATTATGAAGTTTACATTTGTGAATCTGAAACAAAATTCAACAAAATAATATATCGATTTGATTGATATTTTAAATATACGCAAGATTATTTTTTATGTGTATTCTCGCAAAAAAAAAAAGTGTATTAATGTAGCATCAAATATAAAAAATGAAATAAACTAATTAAGTCAAGTCAAATTGATTTTATTAAATATTAGAAACATGATACGTGAGTAATACATGTATGCAATCAGGAAAGTGTTAGATAGAAAAAAGAAATATAACTACATTTTTTTCATTTATGGTTTATAAAATATAAAACTGAATCCGAAAAGAAGTATATCTCTTTTATGCATGAAATAATATGTATTTTTATTCTTATAATAATAATAATACTTAAAGATAGATTAAATTAATTGTTATTGAAGATTATCGACTTTAAAAATTTCAAAACATAAAATTATTTCTTCATACCCTAAATCTTAAATCTTAAAAATAATTTTAAAATTAAAAATTGACTTGATCCATATCTCTTATCACTTTCCCAACCAATCACCGAAAATTACTGATCTATTGCTGTTTTTAGACCACTAGCTAATCCCAATAGGCTTTCTTCAATATCTCGCCAATCGAATTCCTTTTACCTTTTGACTGATCTACTGACCGTATTCGATTTATTCTTGATCGATTCGATTCCAACGTATCTATACCTAAAAACCCTTTAATTTCTTCACCTTTTACTTAAGTTTTATAAACCCTAATCCCTTACTATGTCAAGCTCTTGTGCGGAGGCGATGGACGACTATTGGTGCAGCGATGACGATTACAATTGCTCCGATCAGGGTTCCATTGACGAAGAGTACAACGACGAAGGCTTCAACGACGACGAACTAGACATCGGATCGCCGGTCACAACGTATAATGGTACCACAGCTCTGGTGATCACAAGAGAATCACTTGTCGCCGTGCAGAAAGAAGATTTGCGCCGAGTAATGGAAATGCTTTCACTGAGAGAGCACCACGCTCGTGTTCTTCTTATCCATCATCGTTGGGATGTTGAGAAGCTTTTTGCAGTGTACGTAGAGAAAGGAAAATCCGCCATGTTCGCCGAAGCTGGTGTTACGTGTTATGAATTCGAACCTGGTTCGAATTCTGATCCATCATTTTCTTCTTCATCAGTCTCTTGTGAGATCTGTATAGAGGATGTTCCCATTAATGAAATAACAAGAATGGATTGTGGTCACAGTTTCTGCAATGATTGCTGGACATCTCACTTCATTGTCAAGATAAACGACGGCCAAAGTAAGCACATCAGGTGCATGGCACACAAATGTAACGCAATTTGCGACGAATCTGTCGTGAGAAATCTGCTCTACAAAGAGCATACCGGAACGGCGGAGAAATTCGATCGGTTTCTTATTGAATCTTACATTGAAGACAACAAGAGAGTCAAATGGTGCCCTAGCGTTCCTCATTGTGGTAACGCAATACGTGTTGATGATCAAGAAGACGAACTATGTGAAGTTGAATGTTGTTGTGGTCTTCAGTTTTGTTTCGGTTGTTCATCGGAGGCTCACTCGCCGTGTTCTTGCTTGATGTGGGAGATATGGTCTAACAAGTGCAAGGACGAGTCAGCAACTGTGAATTGGATCACAGCTCATACAAAGCCTTGCCCTAAATGCAGCAAACCAGTTGAGAAAAATGGTGGCTGCAACTTGGTTAGTTGTGTCTGTGGTCAACCATTTTGTTGGCTTTGTGGTGCGGCCACAGGCCGTGATCATACTTGGTCAACTATAACAGGCCATAGTTGTGGACGCTACCAGCCACAAGAGAAAATAGCTGAACTTGCAAAGCAAAATCTGTATCGATACATACATTATCATGACAGATACAAAGCTCACACAGACTCATTGAAGCTTGAAAGTAAGTTAAAAGAGACTATGCAAGACAAGGTTGATGTTTTAGAGGAGAGGAATATGAATGATTCTAATGCGCCACTCAGAGATTATAGCTGGGTGGTCAAGGATGGACTCACACGACTCTTTAGATCGAGGCGGGTGCTATGTCATTCGTATCCATTTGCGTATTTTATGTTTGGAGGTGAGATGTTTAATGAGTTGATGTCAGAAGAGGAAAGGGAAATAAAGCAGAACTTGTTTGAAGATCAGCAGCAGCAACTAGAGGCAAATATTGAGAGGCTATCAAAGTTTCTTGAGGAACGGTTTGATCGGTTTGAAAATGACAAAGTTATGGAAATAAGGAATCAAGTCATTAACCTCTCAATTGTTGTTGATAATCTGTGCCAGAAGATGTTTGAGTGCATTGAAAATGATTTGTTGGGTTCTCTTCATCATCATCATCACAGGATTGCTCCTTACAGATCAAAGGGCATAGAGAGAGCATCTAAACTTTCAGCTTGTTCATCATGAAAGCCAATGGATATTAATACTGGTGAAACAGCAGCTTATGTAGTAAGCTTTAACAAATTAAAATTTCATGTATTTGATCTAATCATTCATTTTAATTTGTTTGATACGTGCCACAAGTGATCCTGGCACTACCCTCCTGCCGATACCCCCCTGAATGTATCCTTCATGTTCTGAACTGCGTGTTTTGGTTTTCTTTTGATTACTGGTACTTTCCTTTCCCAAGCTTTTGCTTGCCATTATTAAGTAAAAAGACACATATGCCACAAGTGGTATGCTTTATAACATGGGCGTATTTCTATGATTTATTCATGTAAAAAAATTCCAAATTACTTTTCTTACCACTATTGTTGCTAAATATAATCTATTTGCTTTTATTCCTATACCTTCCCTTTAGTTTTGTATTCCTTCTAATCCCTAGTATAAGAAGCTTTTAACTACTTTATTAGAATCAAAAAATTACAGTTCATTCATTAAATAAGACTTAAAACCAAAAAAAAAAAAATCAACTTTATCTCTATTGAAAATTAAAACAGGAAGCTAGAGAGAGATACATAGTATACAATGATGAACCATAAAATTACAGGTTATGTACAAAGTAAAAATATCCATTAACTTTCTCTCCAGGAGCACTCAATCTCCCTAACACTATAGTTGGGAGATTTTTTTTTTAAGGGAAAATGGAATGGAATGATATGGCTAAAAGGTCTAAGCCATTGTTTGTGAATTTTTTTTTTTTAAAAAAAAGAAGAATAGAATGGCAATGAAGGGCCTCTAAAGCCCTCTTTTCCCATCCATAACTCAATATTTTTTATAGAGTGGCACAATATAATTATTTCATTTATAAAATTACTCTTAGCCTCCTATCCTAATAAAAAAATGGCATCTACTATTTTCATTTTCCAGCCATCTATCTCGCCTCCTGTTAGGGTTGCACATGGCCAAGGTTGGATCAGGCATCACCTCTGCCCATTACCCAGTTCAATGTGCAGTTGGGCACCAAACTAGCCCGATTGATTCAAAAATATTTTTGCAAATATTTTTAAAAAATACATATAAATTTTTTTTCTTGAAATTACAATTATTATTACTTAAAATATATTCTTCATAAAACTAATATTAAAATCAAAAGTAATTTTTTAAAAGTTCAAATGAACAACAACTGCCAATTATTTTTACATAATAATAAGTTAAAAATAAATTTTAAATTTTGAAAGAGATTTAAAAAATTGTAATGATAAGAAAATGTTTAAAAGATCCTAAAAACATATAATTCATAATAACTTTCAATAAAAAATAATGCCAAAAGATAAATATTATCAACAAAAAAATAAAAAATAAAAAAATTTGCACATGTTCGGGGAAGGCAAGGTTTGACCCCTGTCGCTGGCCCCATGTGCTCGAATGCTTCAGGCAAGGCTAGACTAATCGAGCATTCAAGCATAGTGCATAGCCCTATCTCCTGTCATATCCTTTTGCTCTTGCCATCTCTCTCTCTCTCTCTCTCTCTCTCTCTCTCTCTCTCTCACCCACCTTTCAACACTATGACACTATTGTGTTTTCCTCCTATATGCAACATGAATGTTTTCTTAAATAGTTTTGTTACTTGCTTTCTCTTTTTATTATTAATTCTTGAGTATTTTGTTTGACTGTTAATTTTACTTATTATTACTATTTTTTGTTGCATAAATATTACAATTATTTAATGGGCGTTATTATTTTTTTAAAATTTAGTCATAAAGGTAATATAGAAAGAAAAAAGTTTTAAACCGTTCTTTTTTATTCATTTTATAATAACTCCAAAATAATGGTCATGTAAAACCATTTCTTCTAATCATAAAACTCCCAACAATTGACAAATTTATAATGAGTGTAAGAATACCTATGAACTTGTTTTAATGAGTGCAACAATACCCATTCCATTAAATTTGGCTAATGCCCGTTAACATGGATTATTAAAAAAAGAAGCAAAGATAAGATGCAAAAATACTTATAAATTTTTTTCTTTTTAAGCTTTTAGTATTCTTAAGTCAACAATAATGTATATGTACCCATTAGCTTTTTAAAAGAGACTATATAACCAAGCTCGACCCTAACAACTCAAGCATTCATCCTTATTCAAGTTGGTATAAATATCCAAATTGTTAAATATTATTTTTGTATTTCTTTTTTTAATCAATTTCAATTTTTATCTTAAAAAATTAATATTTTTAATTTTTGATCTAATTTTAATTTTAATTTATTAAAAATAAAAAAGAATTTGGATATTCAAACTAAGCCTACTTGGGTTTAGGCTTGTCATGGCCTGAATAAACCAAAATTAAAGATTTTCTAAACTCTCAAGTTTGGTCTTGAGATTTTTTGCATTTATTTGGGCTAGCCCATTAAGCTTGACCCAAAGTGCAAGCTCTAATCTTTTTCAATCTGTTAAGATAATTTGACGTTGACCATAAAGTTTTAAGAATAGAACTTAATGGATTAGGACATGTACAAAAAAAATAAAAATAGAGTTAAAAATAATTTTAAAAATAAAATTTGGACATGTACAAACTCTCAAATCTACTATTAGATAAACATAATAAATAAAACAATATTCTTGGATAATTATTTAGTTATCATTCACGCCAGATTTGATTGAAAATTAAGAATAAATTAGAGTAAAAATTTCTTGTATGTAAGGGCGAAATAATATAAAAAGTTAAAGAAAAAAAAATCAAAAAAATATTATTTTACTTATAATTAAATAATTTTGTCTTATATAATATAATGATGGATATTTTTCTCATATTCTTAACAAAAGTACAATTTACACAAAAGTTATTAAAAGCTTTGAACTAATTAGGACAATGATTTTAATTTAGTAGTCTAGCCATGATTAAATTGAGATCAACTTGATCATAATTAAAATAAAATAATTTAATTAAAATATATAAAATATTTATATATAATCTAAGAGCAATATTTAAACGACTAAGACATTACTTTACAAGTAAAGGAAACGATCATGAACAAATTATACATAATACAATAAAACAATATAGAGTTACTTAAGTACAAAGTTTACAAATTATTATTTTTTATTTTATTCTTTTAAAGTTAAAATAATATTTTGTGCTTAAAAGAATTATTTAAAAATTAAAATTAGTTTAAAAATAAAGAAAAATATTTTTAAAAAGTTTTGGGTATTCAGACTGACCTGAATAAGCCTGAAGCCGAAAGATGTTAAGGCTAGACTTAGCTATATGGACTTTTTAGAAGAGGTAGGATACTTTAAGCTTGATTCAAATAAGTTCGGCCTAAATTGAGCCTAACTTAACTAAGTCTAATTCGCTTGAATTACTGATTCTATCACAATTTGAAAAACAGGGTAGTACACTGTGGCTAGTGCATAATGCGCCACTTGTTGCATGTTTATGATAGCAAATTTCACTATCATATGATTGCAATTCTAGGCAACTTCTGGTAGGCCCCATTTCTTTGTTCAATGTCTGAATGAGATGATTTAAATATTTACGAAAAGCTCTTTTTATAGACTAGCTAATGGTACTAGTTTTACTTCCAAATTAAGTTACACAAAGAAGTTGGATACTTAAACACATTTCACAACATTTTCTCACTTTCACAACCAAAAAGGTGTCCAAAACTTCACACAAAAATGAAAAGCCATTCCTAACACCCAGATTATACTCATTGGACTCAGAACTACCTGCACAACATATCAGATACACATATACACCACCATATCAAATTTTCACTCCTTAACGCCTTAATATCAAAAACAAAAGGGGGAGGTTTTGGCATTGCATTTCACAATATATCATCCATATCATGTTTAAGTTAACCTTATTACACTTGCACTAATATTTTGGCTCTATAAATATTTACAAGTTATCATAAACAACATCTCAGGGTCCAAAATACATTTCAGACATTATAAAAAACTACATAGTGCAAGTGTAAATAAAATACATCCTAATTGGCAATATACTTATCTATTACACAAATTACACAAAATAATTAAGAATGTAAGGCTTTACAGTAGGAACCCTAGATTCTTAAGCCTTTAGAAGCTTTTCCCTTTCTACACTTGAGCTAGAGCTTGAAAAATATTGAAATAAAAGGGTGAGTCTGGCCATTTAGTAATGAAGGTATACCTACCCTATGTAGTTGCATATCAATTGATTTAAACACATAAAGTGAGTTGATTACTCAAACACATTCAACTATATGTAATACAAGCTATAATTCTACAATTCATTTCACTTTCACATATCTCATCTCAATTATAGAGTACATTTCCACAAGACATATATATATGTGACAATGACCTAAATAATTAATCCCATGCACATTGTTATGATATAGATAACTATTTAACAATGGCATACTTGCTATCACGACTTGTCATAAACTTAATAACCATGTAACATATCGAGTAGACACATATGCATGATCAACCACCTTATACCCTCCTTATATCTTTCGACTGAAATCATGGGCTATAATATTGAATAGAGCTCCATTTATGTGACTAAACTACCTAGGCTCACTAATAGTGAGGTATGACCTGACTATAGATAACAAAACTCACTTTCGGACCACTGTTTCCCCCACTCTCGAATCTCTAGGGTGTCGTATACTCTAAGCTAACCTCTTTGATAAGCTGGTGGAGATAGTTAGGTTCTAGTCCCTCAAAAAATTATAGAACAATGCTATACCCTCGTACACTAAAAGGCAGCCGAAAATAACATATGGATTGTAACTACTCCTCTCCTTAGGTGAAATCCCGCTAACAGATCATGAAATGCATGATGCTCACTCATTTCACAATTTTATTATTTCAATATCAACACATTAAGCCTACGCCAATGTGCTACCCAAGTAAGCATCAATATTATTTTCTAATCATTATCCATTTCAATTTTCAAACTCATAACATGTTCCCATTCCTCATTTAACTACACATGTAGTACTCATACATCAATATAATCATGATATCATTA